TGGAATCGCGATTCGTTTGCAGTTTGCTTGCACATGTCTGCTCGTCACAGGTCCACTGTGGATTTACGAAAGGTGGCTCCGAGATGGAAATCCGATCATCTCGGACTACGCGTGGCTGTTGCACGAGGCATCAGGGATGATGCAAGGCTGAGCCTGCTGCATTGAACAACATACGCAGCACCCCTAGGTTACTGACAGGTGACCAACGGAATTTGAAAATGCATATCTCATGGCGTATCTGCAGAGTAGTGATTGCCCTCGCTGGTTTGGAAAACGAAGTTGCAAGTCTGTCCTATAAATCTATTTCCACCCCTTTGATACGGCCAATTCGTTCAAGTACCTTACATGACTCCATGCCACAATCTCGAAGCTCCTGTCATTCGCCAGCATAAAGCATTTGGTATAAATTTTGGGATGTTAGCCTGCATGACGCGTACAAGTACATTATCTCGGTGATTGCTACCTTGGTAGGGTGAGTTAAACGTAGACATCTCATGATTATGTTCTCCCAAACGTGGGATATATTGAACCGATGATCTGTCCAGGTTATGCGAGTAATAGGTCCCCAGCATTTCGTAAATGACGCCGTATAACTATGCTGTTGTACCATGATCGGTGACATCCGAAATCCTGTTGGTATCACGTTTGCCAGTGGGGCTCTCGTGCCTGCCGCCAGCTGTTTGTGAACACTCGAGATACTGGCAAGGAAACGAGCTCCTTCCCCTACGATGTTTATCTTCAGATCAATGTCACGGGTCCATAGGGGGACTTGAGATTGTCGGCAATCGCAAGACCGATACCAGCTTCGAAGCTCTGTCTAACATAACCTCGGTGCAATAGTGCAGATACTCGTGTATTTGTGTTGTAGTAGATATATATCGTGTTGTGCAGTCGAATTCTATACCGTGTCCGAGAATCTCCCTTGAAAGCCAAACCTCGTCAAACTCGATCTCTCGCGCCTGTGAAGCCGGAAAGGAACAACCATTACATATCGTAGGTGTTGTTTCCCCGGATCACCCTCTATCTTTGAACCTCCGGAGCCACTTGACTGCAGCAGATGGAGAAGGGCAACATTCTCATACCATCCCACCTCTTTCTTGCGCTAGCAGGGCTGCTATCTTTGGTCAAGAATGTTGTTCAGCGTAAGACGTAAGGCAGAAGAAGAAATCATCGGCTTTGAGTCAAAGGGTTATCGAGATCCTCATGATCCCCTCTTGTAGCTCACAAAAGTTTCCGAACTAAATGATGAAGTAATGGCTTGAGTTCTTCATCTTCTTGTTCGAGTTTTGCAATTTTGTGCAAGGTAGAAAGGAGAAAAGAGTTGGCTTTCAGCCAAAGAATTGCCGAGGTCCTCATCGTTCACTCTCGTAGCCCACAGGTGTTTTCGGACCAAACAGATTGACGCAGACGTTCATGAGGATGGTAGTGGCATCACGAAGACGAAGGACACGCAGCCCTCACAAGTTGGGAAGGAAAGATGAAGCGTAGGGGAAATTTTCAAGAAGTGGGATCTGCATGCTGAAACATTGATGAACCCAGTATTCGGATAGTTTGGTGGCGACATGACTTCTTCCCACACGACGAGGGTACGGTGAAGAATGCCAATGTACCATAAGTTGTTTTAAAAAGTCCGTACTGGGTGGATGGCCGTGGTGATGAGGATGAAGGATGAATGATATCCAGCCTATCTTGATCCAACTCGGGGAAAATGGCAGCCTCAGGGGTTCCAACTAAGTGAAGAGGATGATTTCGGCTTTTTGGAAGACAATGGCAAAGCTCGAACATCTATCATACTCCACAACTACTGCGCTCAAAAGATGCCATATGATGTCGGGCCTCTGTACCCGTACACCCTCTCGTGACCCTGCTGGCAATCTTCATAGCAACTTACCATAAGTCTCCTTCCAGGCTGACTGCCTCCCTTGCAACGACACTGCGTAGGCATATTGATATCATTTTCCATGCGGCAAAAGTTTGGGGAAATCATGGCTATATGAAACGAAAGAGTCCTGGGGAGGACAATGGAAGGGCAAGAAGGCGGTGGTAATCGATATTAATCTCGCACTCTATTTGAAGAAAATCACGCATACAGATATGTGTAAAGGGTGAGCAATGTTACAAACCTATTGCTCAAGAATAAATCAAACCGAGCGGAGTCAACCTCACAGTATTCCAGCATTTGGCAAAAAGTAGCGTCAAGGGACTGAAGGATGAGGGAGAGTACTTGATCGCCATAGCATCACAGAGTATGACAAGGAAGCATGTTTGTTTGATTGATATGATTGGTTTTTATTTGTTCTCAGGGTCGGACTTCAGTCTCGACATCTTCTTCCTCTCTCCTAGTTTCTCATCCCTCGGCATATGGCCTCCCTCGCGTACCTAGTGGTATCGTTCTTTTCAAAATAAAAGCAGCTCTCACTCTCTCAGATGTGCGTATGACAGTCATGTCATCGCCATGAGTATTCCCATCCATAAAACGCCATCGCTTGCTAAGAATGTTCATCCCAGGTATCGTAGTACCATGCCGTCGCTAGTTTTCAAAAAACAAGAAAAAAAAAAAGTCGCTCAAAAGATCTTCCTCCGCACCAGCCTGGGTGATTCCGGTTGCAGCTCCATTAGTTCCAGCTCTCATTAGGGTGTAGTGGTGGTAGTAGTGTGGTGTAGTGATGTTGGAGTAGTAATTGATAGTGATATTGTTCGACAAATGAGAGGTTTAAAGTTGAGATGTACTCGTGTGAGGACTGTAACCATCTATCGGTAGGAGCTGCCGACGGTGGAGATGGAGGCGCTGGACAGAACGGGCTGAATGGAGAAGAGAGGGCGGGCAGGGAAGTCGGAGTCGAAGTCGGCGATGCCGATGCGGCTCGCGACTGCTTGTTCCTTGAGCATGGCAATTCTGAGGAAGACATGTTAGTATATTGTTTGCTGTTAAAGTGTAGTTTAGGACTGTAGACTTACTCATCTGCGCTGATGCCGGCGAGGTCGAGGTTGCATTTTTGGAAGTTGAAGGGAGCAGAGATCTCGGAGCCGCGCTGCTTGACCTCCTTCCTGTTGCGGCGGATCACCTTGTTGAGGAAGACCTTGAAGCCGTCGTTGGAGTGCATGGTTGAATCGTGTTGCATTGTGAATGGTGGTGGATAGCGAAGATGATGAGAGGTGGATGGTTGTATTATATGTTGATGACGTGTGTGTAACTCCAGCGCCGCGGTTGGTTCACAGGGATAAGATGTGTTGTTTGTTTGTTGATGGTGATCGAAGGGATGATTCTTCAAGTTGTTGATGTTTAAGATTTCCGAAGATGGCGGGAGGATGAGTGGTGATATATCTTTCCTAAATGTTCCCCCTTGTCTCGTGGTCGTGGATCTGTGTTCCCGATAATCTTGATGTGTTCCTGAACTTCTTTGCTTTTTCTTCCAGCTCTCTGGTTCCTTGGTGTCTTGTTGGTGGAGTTTAGGCTCAGCCTTGGAGAAATCTGATGGTCAAGGATATAGATTGGTTGACTTATTGGATCGTTGTTTAATTTGATTCCTGTTGTTGATTTGAATACTGGTGAGAAGAAGCAAGCAACGGGAAGGAGAGGGTGGGAAGTAGAATCATATATCTATTACCAGATCGGTGGACTCACAACCATGGGGGCGTGTGGTGTGTGACGAGCGAAAAAGAAGCAAGGAGTGAGTGAGTGAGTGAGTGAGTGAGTGAGGAGGAGGGTGAGGGTGTGAGGGGTGTGGCCGCGCTAGCATGGTGAAGACGTGCGTAAGGCACGTACGTCCCCGGGAACGATCGCACGCCCCCTCCTCCACTGAATCCATCAGCTCCACTCCCTCTCCTCCAGGCTCTTAACCGTACACCCCGTCCCCGTCCCCGTCCGCCTCTCTGTCCTTCGCCGTGGACTTTCGGGAAGTGCCTCCCTTGAGGTGTGCCAGTCATCTCATCAGTGCCAAAAGCATCTGAGGGAGGAAGACAGTCGGGGAGCGGAAAGGGTGGAGGATGGCGTGGAGGGGTGTGCGTGTGTTCGAGAGAGTGATGTGCGTACGGCCAAGACTCAGAGTGAGGAGAGATGTGGGATGAAACTGCCGCGTGCAGAATCGCACTCCCAGGAACAACCATACTGGACCAACTTGACCGCCAGACTGGCAGACCGCCTAGGTGCGAACACAACGCATGCCATCGTAAAGTCGACCAAAGAAAAGTGTCCGTCCGTCGGCCGACGGACGCCACGGACGCGGAACAAGGTTAGGCGGGAGAGGCTAAGTACGATGGTCCGCAAGGATGTGGAGGACAGGGAGGATTTTCGTGAAGGGGGACAGACACAGGTACAGCGTGGTGTGTGTGGGTGTGTATCCATTGCAACGGACGTAGAGGCAATGGGGAACTAAGAAGCTACTGCCTACCGATAACGACGATGACTGCTACTACTGCTGCCTTTGCTACAGATTCTCGCTTGCTGGGTTAAATGCGACTTCTTTGGGAATAGTTCCGTGATGGGAATTGAATGAGAGGAAGTGATATCGATGAGGCTTATCGTTTTGGGCTGAGCCATCGACGTTGTTGCAATATCGGTTGTTTGAAGAAGAGAGAGTGAGTGTCAGGCATCTTACGTGGGCTGACTGTACCGCAGCAAACGGGGACAACGGCATTAGGTGAACAGGCAACAAAGTTTCCCAGTTCATTTTGTGACCACGTTTGAATGATCACGTTGCTACATTACGTGACTGTACTCCCTGGTGGAGCAAAACAACGAAAACGAGCTGCTGCTGCTGCTGCGAGAGAGAGAGTACCAGGCAGAAAGTAAAAAGTTTCGAACTCCGTGTTTGGATCGAGTATTGGATCGGGGACGTCGGGAAATTCCCCAATCACGAGACGGACAGGGCAGGACAGGGGGCATAGGATCATCATCATCATCGCCGCGTGCGCGTGGGGGAGGAGAATTCTCCAGTGCTCCAGTTGCTCACAGACGGCCGGCCGTACGCTGATCGCCGAACCGGCAGCCCCCAGTCGGAATGGAATCCCCTGCAACCCTTGCCAAGATGCGAGAGCCCTGTGAGTGAGTGTGAGGATTGAGAGTAAGAGTGAGAGTGAGAGAGAGTTCGGACTGACTGACTGGGCTGAGTGAGTGTGCAAAAAAGAGAGTTGACTGCCCACCCTCACATCGAATCTGAAACTCGGCGCCGTAAGGCTCACTCACTCATACTCACTTATCCACGGCTTACCGCTACGTTCCGTCCGTTGTGTAGTGTTAAAAAAAGAGAATTTGTTTCAAGATTGGGAGGGGATGGGTGTTAGGTCATGGGGTGTGGTGGTGTGGTGCTTCGTAACGCTGCTGCGCAATACGCGCGCAACGAACATTTCATTTCATGCCTTTTATTGTTAGTCACCAACTCTTACGTGCGGTGCTGCGGTGCCGAGTGATGCGCAGTCGGCCGGTTCGGGGCTGGTGAGTGGACGAGATATGACATCGCGGACTTGGAGTTAGACACGCCACACCAACATACACATACACACAGACAAGGACACTGCTCTCCCGCACGGTTGGGTTGGTCTCTTTGATGCGACGATATTTTTCACCAACGGCCGGCCGAGTGGTGTTCTTACCAAGAAGGCCGTTTGCTTGGACGGGCTTTGCATACGGATACGCCAGCTTCCAGATATTCCAGAGCGCACGCGGGCCTTACGGCGCGTCATATCACGTCGTGCCGGCTGCGGACATTTTTCTGAGGCATCGCGGAGGAGCGTTGAAGATGACCGTGACCTTTTCAGGAACACACATCAACATATGCAAGGCACCATGCAGGTCCCGCCCGCCGACTTACTCGTCGCGCGCCGCGTCCGCGGGATTCCAGATCGAGCTGGCCTGTAGGTAATCTGTCATCCTTCCTCTCATTTGGGAAACCCTACCTACTCCCCCGGCCGACGACACGCCGCCGCCGCCGCCGCTGCCGAAGCAGGGCGTGCCCCCCCGTGATCTGGCTCCGGCCGTGCCCGCGCGGGGTCCCTCATCATTTCTACCTTGCCCTTGCCCGCTGCTGCATTGAAGATTTGTGTAATTAGGTAAGAAGGAAAGAAAGAAAAGCGATCGCGAAACACCCCTGGTTCCCCCGCCGCGCGCGCTGTGTGTACGGCGCCCGCCAACCCAGTCGGCCGGAGTCCGGGGGCCGGTGGGGGGGGGGGGGGAGGCCGGCGATGTGTGAGAGTGTCTATGTACTGCTTGCAGCCCAACCTAAGCTGCAGTGGGGGGTGTAAGCTTTGGCAAGTCCAAAAGTTGCAGGCATCTTCTCCTGGTGTTGCGCACGTAAAAGCCGACAACAGATTTAAAGTTGTATTGGGTCGGGCGTGGCATCATTGAACATGGGTACGAATTGGTAAGGCAGGGCATGGATTAGGAAACTCGAAAGGCATTGGGAGATAGGGACAAGGGGGGAGAGAGAGTTAGAGGGTTACAGCAGAAGCCCGCGTGATGCCGAAAGCTACACCACCTTCTTCACTAACTTCTCGAGACACAGTAGAGTTTGTCATCGGAGCTTTCCCTTCATCTTCAGGCGACAGCGGCCAGGGCTGCCGCGACGAGACGATAGGGCTCTCACTCTCGTGTGGATTTTTACAAGCTGTCTTGTTTGGGAGGGTCGTACTCCGTTCATGTCCGTCGCTATCGGCATCGCGATCGTAGAGTTGAGGTTACTCGTTGCCTCTCGCGATGATCGTTGGCATGAGGCATGGAGCGTGGTAACGGGAAACCCGGATGTGGTAGTACGGCAACGGTTTCCCTAGTATTCTGCATCCGTACTTCTTTTCTGAGTCTGTATACGGGCGGCATCATCGTACGCTAGACACTAGACACTCTGGTTTGAGCTTCAGACACGCGATCGACGAGACATTTGTACCGGATTCCAGGTTTGGAAACATGTCGTCGTGTGTTCCCAAGTATTGAACCGGCCGAGTATGATGTTGAGTCTGGCATTCCTCTCGTTGGCCGTGGGAAGCGTGGAGCTTCAAGCATTCCAACACTCAATCCCATCTCATCCGGCCATTCCAGCGTAGCATCAGTCCAGCCCTCAGCCCTGCTACTCCACGTACTCTCATTACCTGGATATCAATTGCTGTCCATTCTTTACCGCTTCTTTCTTCAGCAGAGTTTCGAATGAGGCTGGTTTACATTCCAGCACCTGTATCCGTACTAATTACCATCCCTGTCTCCGCCAGCGCAGTACGCAGCAGCTGGAATGCGATGCGGAACCCCTGCGACAATGGTCAAACCCGTGCCCTTTGGGGCTGAACAATTTTGCAGGAATGTAATCAAGGACCCCTGACACTTTGGGCATTCCTTGGGTCTTCTTGCAGCCCTTTTTCCAGTCCGGACTCTGCGACTCTTGGGTGGTTCTTGATGCATTAGCTGCATTTCTCTAGGCATCATCATCGTTTTCTTCACCAATGATACCAAGACTCTTGGCTTCTATTAATGGACCAAATCTGTATGTACACGTCCAGCAGACGAGGGGGGTGAGGTGCATTTCTGTCGTAGTCGTAGCCGTCGTAGAAGTGAAGCCTCCACAGCCTCAACGCCAAGCACTAGAACGGACTCACGTTTCGTTTGGAACACATGACCAGAGAGAGTGAGCGAGCCATAGCTTGAGGCATTGGAAACATCTTCCAAGCCTCAACCGTTTTAGAGGTGCTGACACGGGCAAGCAAAAGAGGCGCGGAAACGGGCGCTGGTAGAGACTTGTCAGCGTGTCAGAAGAGAAGCACAGAGCATTCAGTCCTCAGTGTAAGATGTTTAGTGCACAGAGCAGATGCTGGACATGTCGGGCTTGTCGTGGCGTCTGTTTCTCTGCTTTCCCCCTCACTCTGATCTCTGTCTTCCCGCGCCACATCCGCGTTTGCCAGCTTGCCCTGACAGAGTCCTACAGCCTACAAGACCCGAACGTGCATGGGACTAACGCCCAATCTTGCCAAGTTCCAGGTCCCGTGGGCGGTGAGCACCAAGCCGCCCTACCCCGAAGAGTCTAGCAAACGAAGAAGGATGGACGCTTTGGGACATGTCTGCGAGGGCTTCGTGGGCTTCTCGGCTTGCAGCAGGCGTACGCCCACCAAAAAGAGGTGGGTGAGGGGGAGAGGGGAGCATGGGGAGGAGCACTGGGGCTGTCGGACTGGGCTGGACATCGTCGGACTGAAGGGATGGGGGCTTAAATTGGTTGGCGGTTGATCCTCATCACCAAACGTCTATCACCGGGTTCGAACGCAGACGTGCGGTGTACCTTACCTAGTGAACGGTACTCATGTGCTGGCAGCTGCACACGGAAAACACGGATGGAGATAGGTAACCTACATCACCAAAACTGTATATACGATCGAGTTACACGAGCGGAACCGTCAGGCACCACGGCTTTTGCAAGCTCCACGAAAGCTGCACGAAGCTGAAGCCAAAGGGGTGTGTGAGGAGTAGAGATAGTTGCAGGGCCAAGCAAGACGCAAGCACTTACTTTCACAGCTTCTCACGCGTCTCACTGGGTTCCGAGCTGGTGGGTTGTGAACCCCGCTGGGGGATGGTGACACCCAGATGATGGATTGATGATGATGGCGGTGAAGCCATGATGCAGATGATTTGATGCTGACGATTTTCCTTATTCCGATACTGCGGTACCCGTACGTACGGATATCCGTAGGTATTGATTCCCAATGATTTGGAACGTATGCTTGCCCCCCCTGCCTTTGCAGATTGCAGCTTGCAGGCCCCCTCTTTGGCTGCAGACTCTCATCTCGCCCAGCAATCTGCAATAGGCAGATCATGGCGGGAAAAGGATTGCAATGTCTGCAATGCTTGCTTTGCGCGTTCGCTTGCCCCTGCACCTTCGCGTTCGCCCTGTGCCTGGCGTGCCTGACAACCTGGGTCAACCGAGAGAAATCTCTGGATCGGTAATATCCCCAGCTCGTCTCAGCATGTTTGCTTGTTTCCTCGCATACTCTTTCCCCCCCTTCAATATCGGGATTTGGGACGTGAATCCCTCTTTCAGCCCCAAACCAGTAAAATGATGTGCCATTTGCCAATTTAACCCAGCAAATAGACTCGATCCAATAAAAGCCCCTCTAGCCTCCAAAACCAGTCAGTGCTGACAGTGGAGGGGGCCACTCCTCTTCCCGATCGGGGGCTTTTTCAGCACGTATCAACCCCTGGTCAGATCCATATACCTACCTAGTATCCGTAGTGTAGTGTATACTCCGTAGGCCCTGCCAGGCTTGCCAGCTGGCTGGGCTCCCTCTCTCTATCTCTCTCTCTCGCGCGTCCCAGGGCAAGGGTTTGGCAGCTCGCCTCGTCGACGCCGTGTCCGCCAGCCCAGCCCAGGTCTCGACGATCCGTGATCTGCTGCAAGAGAAGAAAACCCCCTCCCCCCTGGTGGCTGCAAACCATTTCCATTGGATCGAACCCGACTGTTCGTTAGCGTCCGCAAGCTTCAGTGTGCCACAGCGGGACTTGCTCGGACTACCCAGCTGGAAAGAGGGGAGATCAAGAGAGGGGAGGGGATGACGGATCACAGATGGAGGACGCGGCAGAGGCAGGCGACGGCGTCACGGAAGCACCGCTTTCCAGATCAAGTGCCCTACCACAGCAGCTGAGTTACGGCCGAAGCGAAGGGAGAGCGAGGGTGGATACCCGTGAAGAGTGGTGGAGAGGGGTGTGTGATCTTTCTGGGACCTGTGATCTGTGATCTGAGGAGCTAGCTAGCTTGGATAGAGATAGTAGCTAGAGTACACAGATGGATAGATGGGTTAATAGGCTGGTAGAGTTTGGGCCAGTTCGTGAGAGAGCGGCGCGTAGCCCAGCTTACCTAACAGACTCGACAGTCAACGGATGTGCGGTCCTTGAAGCCATCGCCAGCTTCAGTAAGGTACAGAGTGACACCTCAGAGTAGGGTACCTACTGACTGACAGAGCCTCGTGAGCCTCCCTGACAGCGAATTGGCACCAGTCAAGCCAGTAAACCGACCAACTAGGCGTGGTGCAAGGCACGTCGCACAGAGAATTGCACGCTACGAAAGATGGCGGCTGCCCCCAAGACTACACTATGTACCTGGAGAGCCGAGGCCCCACCCTTCCCGCTCAGCACTGGCCCCCGGTGGCTTAACTAAGCGTCCCGTCTGGTGGCTCTTTCTCCAGATCAGCGCTCTCCTCTCCTTCACTCCTTCCACCAAAGTGACTACACACCCCCGTGACCACTGAACCCCTCACCACCGAGAATCACCGGCTCCGGAACGGCCCCACCACTCACCGCCAAAGTCATTGGCCAATTCGGTTCGATAGTGGAGACAACACACACACCAGTCACGGGCGACTATCTTGACATCTTGCCCGATGCATCGATATCGACATCGACAAAACTACACCAAGCAAGCACGGACGGATCACCGACCCAAGATGGCCTCAAAAGTAGCCCCCAACATGGCTGAACGCGGCAGTTGCTCTTGGCTTTGATGACTTGCCAAGCTCTCCAAAGAAAAGCCAAATGAACCCAACCGGCAGTTTTTTCCTCTCATCGTGCGGCTCTCTCCTATGGCTGCGGTAGTTAGTGTACGATGCACTCTCAAACTTGGCAAACACCAGCATCAGAATCATCGTATATTCCGTTTGCGGAAAGTTTCAAGAGTCCAACGTCGGGGCGCAGCACGAAAGCAGGGCAAATTCTCGTTTGTTTCTCCTACACTATCTCTCGCCTTTCTTCACTACGCGACTACTCCCATCCGCCCATCCCGCTCTGTAGTACCGAAACTCGTGTGTGCCACTGCGTCCGTACGGAGGAAAACCATCAAGGAAAACGACTGAAACCTTCCGAGGTAATCCCCATCACCACTCTTTGCTGCATACGAA